CTCCTGTCCCCCCAGCAACGGGCCCTGTCCCTCAGCAACTGGCCCAGCTCTGTCCTGTCCCCTAGCAACTGCCCCAGCTCTCTCCTGTCAGCCAGCTGCTGATCCCATCCCCCAGCAACTGCCCCAGCTCTGTCCTGTCAGCCAGCCGCTGCCTCCATCCTCCAGCAACTGGCCCAAGTGTCTCCTGTCCCCCCGCTACCGCCCCAGGTGTCTCCTGTCCCCCAGCAACTGGCCCAGCTTTGTCCTGTCAGCCAGCCGCTGCCCCCATCCCCCAGCAACTGGCCCCATCCCCCAGCAACTGGCCCCATCCCCCAGCAACTGCCCCAGGTGTTTCCTGTCCCCCCAGCAACTGCCCCAGGTGTCTTCTGTCCCCCAGCAACGGGCCCTGTCCCTCAGCAACTGGCCCAGCTCTCTCCTGTCAGGTACCCACTGCTCCCATCCCCCAGAAACTGCCACAGCTCTCTCCTGTCAGTCAGCAACTGCTCCTTCCTCCCCACCCTACTGCCCCTATTTCCCCTCCTAATGCTCCCTGCTTCAGTGTAAACTGCTCCACAGACATGTAAACTGATTGAAACAATTAATTTTACACCCCCCATCTGCTGACCTGTCAATGTTTATTATACAGCTTCTCCCCCGCCCCAAATGGTCCTACCTGATTAGAAAGTATCCTCCTCCCTCCCTCTGTGTACCCTTCCCCAGTGTAATAGCTTTTATTTATGAAGTTTCTTCTCTGTTTCCAAAGGGTGTTTGGAGTGTTGCATAGCACAACTACTGTTGAGCAAAAATACTGTTATTAAATAATAAGAAAGACAAAGGCAGCAATGTTTTCCAAAGCTCTCTGGGCTTGTGCAGAGACATAGCCAATGAGATTAAGGTGATCTGTGGTTATTGCTCATTGAAGGAATTGTTGACCCTCCAAAATCAGATTTTCTGGGGAAAATGAGGCTGAGGCCAAGGCCAACACTTGAGTTGAATAAACATTGCACAAACTTGCGCGCACACAAACACACACACAAAGTTAAATCTCTGACAGAGGTAAGAAGAAACTTATTTTGTGAGCAGGTTATTTTATAATTGTCCACTATGTTGTTTATTCTCCCCCCACCTTCCTCTAGACCATCTGGTACTGGCTGTTAGAGAAAGGATACTGAACTAGATGGACCACTCTGATCTAGTACAACACTTCCTAAGTCCCCAAGTAAAGGTCTGTTGCTTTTAATGGGCATTCTTGTCATTTGCAGGGCCAAGATGAGTTTGTTTGGATCAACCTCAGGGTTTGGAGCTGGTGGTACCAGCATGTTTGGAAATACAGCAACAGATAATCACAACCCCATGAAGGTACTTGTATTAACCTATATGTAAACAGTGGGTATCAGGCGATCTCCTTTCCAGGAATCAGGAGTGAACATGAGCATGTATTTATTTATTTTCTCTCTCTTTCCCCAAACTCATTCTTCCTAAGTATTGAGAAGTTTCAGGGTTTGTTACCAAATGCAGTTATGAATATCCCTCTTCTTACTTCCCAAGGAAGAAGATTTAGGCCCGAACCACACTGTGGTTTGTAACTGTTTGAGACTGTTGTCAAACATGGTTACAACCTAACATGGTTTGCAATTGAATTTGACCCAGAAACGGTGCTATGGACTATATGAGGCAGGGGCATAGTCTGTATAACAGTCTTGGCTAACACACCTTATAATGAGGAATGGTGATAATACCCTGTACGCTGTCAGGAAACTGTGCTATCAATGGCAGTATTGAAAAATAGTTCACAAGCACACTTCTAGCATGGATCAAGCAATGGTTTTGCCATTGCATTTCTGTGTTCGTTAGACTGGTTAGAGGATTCTAGCAATCTAATAGAACAGCATGTTATTTCAATGAACTTAGTGGGCCTGATTTTCAAACAAGTTTGGTACACAGTTTTGTGTACAGTTACCTTGATTGTGTGTGTGTAATTCTGATGATTATAGATGTTATAAAGGTATAATCTTTTGGAAACTTGCAAAACTTAGATCCACAGGACCTTGAAGTTAAAGGCAAAGAATAACGGTGAACTACAAAAGAAATAAATTGTACTATAACAGTCTCGCTATTCTACATGCAAGTGATTTCTTCCCTACTTACTATATCAGCAGTAAACCTATTAGTTTATTATAAATTATAATTTAAACAACATTTGTCAAAATAAATAAAGTACCACTTGTGATTCATTATTGTTGCCTTTTTAATATTTTTTTCATGTACTATCTATTTTGCAAAACTCAGAACTTTGTTAATTTACTCTATGACTAGAAGACACATTATTAAGTTCTATGACGTATGAATATTTGTAATTTTTTTGGTCTTTACAGGATATTGAAGTTACATCTCCACCTGATGACAGCATTGGTTGTTTAGCTTTCAGTCCACTAGCATTGCCGGGTAACTTCCTTATTGCAGGATCCTGGGCAAATGATGTAAGTATTTAATGAGCATGGTCTGTAAAAAGGACAGTTTAAATCTCTTTAGCTTGATACATACTTACCTACTCTTGTTACAAGTTATGCCTAAGATTGCTGTAGTTTAAAGATTGGAGGAAAAGAGCCACTTTTCCCCACTTTCCTTACTTTATTTAATTGACAGAAGTTTGCCTAAAACAAGTTTTGTTGTTTCATCTGAAAAGTCATTTTCCCCCCCTTGTTTTCTTTGTGTCTT